ATTAATATATACCTGATAATATTGCAACATGATGTGTATAGTAACTCAATAAGAAAATACGTGCCAGCCCAATGCAAAGTATTTTATATTAATAAACCCAAGTTAAAAGCAAAAACTTCCATGTTGGCAAGATTTCCTGATAAGCTGCAATTTGAATTTAAGGTATTTTTATCTTTTGCTTATTTACCTTCAGAGTAACTCTTCTTTTACACATGTTGCTTCAATATGCACGTCAGGGATTGCTTGTGGTCTTACCCAGCATATACAAAAACAATATCCAGGAAGTTTAGTCATATTGGCATCATTTGTCCAGATACTTAAGCTGATATTTTTAAAATTAGAAAACTTCTGTTTAAACAGGACATGCATGTTTTCCTGTTTGTGGAGAACCTTCGAAGCTCTTGGGAGGTTAATGTTTTTACCACAACTAAATGGGTTTCCTGGTGTAGTATACCATAGATTAAACAACCTTGAAGAAGCACCTGCAATGCACAAATAGGCAACCTCCCCTCCTTTTACCCAAAAAAAAAGAAAAAAGAAAAAAGAAAAAAGAAAAAAAAGAAAAAGGGAACAGACCTGAGTTTATTTTATTTTATTGTCCTGGGACAATTTTGACAGTCATACAAAGCACCTAAGAATCAATGAAGAACCATGTTCTGTTCAAACTAAAAGGGACTGGGAAGAAAATCTCACATCCCACCTTGGCCTGCTGCCCTGCTTGAAAATGGCAACTACAGTAGGTTGCTAAGGCTTATGTAAAGAAGATAATAATAGCATTCTTTGTTCTCATTTAAAAGAACTTTATAAGATGACTCCTTAAAATGAGCTGTTTGGGTTTTCAGGATGTTGTGGTTTTTTAAATACTAGTGACAATATTATGCAGACAAACACCAGTGAATTCGGTCAAAAGGAGCATTTTCCCTATCTTGTATTTCTGCAGCTGATACATGCTGCAAAGATGATTCTTTCCTTGTCATATTCACACATCAGCTAGGAATAAAATTATCTTATTTACATAGATGCTGCCCATAATTGCAATCCCAATTATTAAAAACTGAAACAACTGAATATGCACAAAACCTGGACCTCCAGTCTGCCTTAAGTAATATATGACTATGAATTCACTTTTGGAGGAGGGAAAGACTAAAACCACAAATTCACACCTTCAGAAGGCAGCAGTTATATGCAGAAAGAATGAAATAGACCAGTGGTTCTTAACCTTTTTGAAAGGATCGCACCCTTGAGGAAGTTATTGCCCCCCTTCCCCAGCATAATGGCGGCACCCATCACCCCACCGAAAAACGAAATCGCCGAGGTTAAGAACCACTGAAATAGACTGTAAGCAAAAAAAACCAAACAGACTGAAAATCCAATATCATGCAGACACTCCTATAATGGCAAAGTATTGGCACGAACATATAGGAAGATGTGGTCTTTCAGATACATTGGTGCCTCGCATAGCAATCGCTCTGTTTAGCGATGAAATCGCTTTGCGACACATTTTTTGCAATCGCTTTGCAATGTTCCCTATGGGGGAATTTCCCTTTGCGATGATTGGTTCCCTGCTTTGGGCACCAATCATCGCAAAGCAGTGATTTTGTAACAGCTGATCGGTGGTTTCAAAATGGCCGCCGGGTAAATAAAATGGCCACCCGCTGTTTTCTGGGGTGGATTCCTCACTTAAGAGGCACCAGAAATAGTCGCGCTATGGAGGATCTTCGATGAACGGTGAGTTTTAAGCGCAGGTCTTTCTCGGCCGGGATGGCGGCGGCAGTGCCTCAGTCTCCCTGCCGAGGCTGGAGTTGAAAGGGGTGAGGAGAAGGAGAGAGAGAGCACGCGGAGGCGGCTGTTTGTGAAACTGGGTTCCCTGATCTTTGCAAACAACTGCCCATCAGCTGTGCTTCGGGCTGCTCTCTCTCCCCTCCCAGCCTCCCAGTTAATGGGCAGTTGTTTGCAAAGATCCCAGGGAAGCCAGCCTCCCATACCCCCGTGGACCAGCTGTACTTCAGCGCGCGCTCCCTCTCTCTCTCCCCTTGCAGCTCCACCCATGGCAGGGAGACTGAGGAAACTCGCGTTCGCCCACGCATGGC